CCGGGACACCCCCGGGCAGGGGCGTGCGTAGCACAGCGGCCTCCGGAGTTCCCTTGTACTTGATCTTCAGGGTTTTGGCATTTCTGTGGTCCAGCTTCACGCCGAACTGCTTCTCCACGGCCTCCAGGGCCGTGGCGTCCAGCATCTGGCGGAAGCGCTCGTGGCGCCGGGCCAGCGCGAGCGCGTCTGGGTGGAAGACCACATCGTAGACCGTGTAGCGGGTGCCACGGCCCCCCGGGTACTCGCGGCCGGGCGCCAGGCTGTACGGCAGGGACCACTGGCTACCGGCTGCCGCGCTGCCCGAGCCGGGCCGGCTGGTGGGCGAACCTACCAGCGCGTTGCTGCACACGTTCACGAAGCAGCGCCGCGCCCCGTCCAGGCTAGTGCGCAGCACGTGGCCGGGCTCCGGGTGCACGAATTGCACCTCCACTCCGCGCTCACGCTCCAGCGCGGTGATCTCCGCTTCGTAGCGCCGCCGGTTCTCGGGGTCCGTGAGCTCCTCGGCGTACTCGGAAAACATTCGCCGGAACTCGGGGTCCTGAAAGGCGGAGGTGAGCCGCTGGACCTCCTCTCCGCTCAGATCCAAGTCCTCCAGCGGCGAAGAGGCCGCCGCCTTGGCCATGCTGCTCCTCAGCCGCCTGAGAGAATGGGACGCGCCTTGGAGTCGCAGGCCCAAGGCCAGTAAGCGGCCGAGGTCAGCAACTGTCAGAGAATTGTGCTTGGGCCGCGTGCTTATTGCCATGGTGACGCCACCCACGCGCAGGAGGAGGAGGCAAAGAATTGGAGTGGGATGGTGGAAGTGCCAGAAATAGCGTCTCAGTTGCTTCAAACTAACCAACTACTCTACAGTCTTTGTATTTTAGATTCCTGTGCCACGGCACAGTTACTTTTGCATTAGAAAAACTATCATAATAATTGTCATAATTTCCAGCATATATATCATCTACATAGTTCATAACGCTTAAGGGCAGAACTGATCCCCATTTCGCAGAAAAGAAATGGGACCTGAGAAGTTACCTAACCAGGGTCATGCAGCTCGTGTATTCACAAGCTGGGATTCATACCTTTGTTTATGTTTTTTTCACTTCACTAAACCCATATTTCAATCTTCTGAATATTTTTTTGTAATGTATTTTTTATTTCAGAGAAGAAGGGAGACGGAGAGAGAGAGAGAAACATCAATGATGAGAGGGAATCATTGATTGACTGCCTCCAGCACGTTCCCCCTATAGGGGATCGAGCCTGCAACCCAGGCATGTGCCCTTGGCCTGGAATTGAGCCCAGGACCCTTCAGTCTGCAGGGGGTCATTCTATCCACTGAGCCAAACCGGCTAAGGTAATCTTCTGAATATTTTACCATACAGTTTGCTCTGTAACAACTCTCATTTGAGGCAAGAGATATGGGCAAGCTATTAATAAGTAACTAATGATCAAACATACAAGACTTCATTAATAAAAATGCAAGTATAAGATACCACTTCACCTATCAAAATGGCAAAGTTGTTTTTGTTTTTACAATTACTGTATCCTTTGGGTCATGGTAGAACTTAGTAAAACCTTTCTAGAGCATAGTTTGGTAGCTGTAAAAAAAGCTTTTAAGCCCTAGCCAGTTTGGCTCAGTGGATAGAGCATCGACCTGTGAACTAAAGAGTCCCAGATTCAATTTTCTAGTCAAGGGCACATGCCCAGGTTGCGGGCTCCATCCCCAGTGGGGAGTGTGCAGGAGGCAGCTAATCAATAAATATCTATCATCAATGTTTCTATCTCTCCCTCTTCCTTCCTCTCTGAAATTAATAAAAAATATATTTTAAAAAATAAATAAAAAATAAAAGGTTTATACTTACTTGATCTAGAATTCCAACCCTAAAACATGCTCTAGAGAACTCTAAAGGTTCGTGAAGAATCTAAGAATTCAACAGTGGGACTGGTTGAGCAGATTTTGGTACAGCCATACAATGGGATTCTTTGCAGCCACTCAAAGTAATGTTATAGAAGAGTATCTATTGACAAGAGTAGTTACTAATTAGTAGTTGTTAAATCCAGTGATTATTTTCCTGTTTTCATTTTGTTGAAACTCACCAACATTTCACACAATTGATGTCATTATCTCAGTAACAAAACACTTTCCAGACTTCTCTCCTACCTTACCAGACACTTAACACTGCTTTGCAGGTGTTTACTTCTGTTCAGCTTGTAAGTGGAAATGCATCATGCGTCAAGGCTGGGTCCCCATCTCCTCCATTTACACTTTCCTTCACAAATAAATTTACACTCATAAATACCAGACTTACATAGCAGGTTCTAAACTCCAAATTCCTATAGCCAGTTGCCCATTTAAGGTCTCCACTTGAATGATTTAATGCTTAAATTCTTAAAGCTTGAAATGACCAAAAACAGAACTCCTGACCCTTTCCGTGCTGTATCTTATGATCTCTTGACAGCATTCAAAGCGGTTGACTGTGCCCCCTTGGAACACATTTTTCTTGGTTTGCAGAATTTCATGCTCTCCCATTTTCTTCTTCCTCTACTTGCTCCCCATCTGCCAGTTCTCTAAATGTAGGAGTCACCCAAGGCTTATTCATCAGCCTTCTTCTCTAATCATACTTCTTCCCAGACGATTTCATTCAAGCCCACAGCTTTAAATGCCATTTATGTTCAGATTCATTCAACAGAATTGGACACCTGTTGCACCTATTGTATAGGTAGATAAGTAAGTATGGCAGTGTTCTAGGCACTGGAACAAAACAAAATCATTATGCCCCAAACATGTAAAGCAACTGGCACATTTGTATGCTGGAAGTGTCTATTGGGTCAATCACTATGGAAAATTGCTGTTAAATATAATGTGTATCTTATGACTAAGAAATTCTGTTTCTAGCAAAAGACATAGACTAGATTTTGTATATTCATAACAGCATTATTTGTAATAGACAAATAGTGGAAATTACCCATATTCCTATCAATAATAGAATGGATATATAAAATGTGTATATTTACAATGGACATGAGGAAACAATGTGGATGAATATCACTAACATGTGAGAAACCAGATATAAAATACATACTGTATGATTCTCATATAATAGACAAAACTTGGCAAAATCTGTTAAAAGTCAGGCTAGTGGTTGTCTTACCTCTTCCTCTCAGCCACAGCCCCGTCACCCTTGACTCCCTTCCCCTCCTGTCTTCCTGCACAACTCACATCTATAGACAGAAACACACACACACACACACACACATACACACACACACACAGACACACACACATATATGTAGTAAATAGTAATTTATAAATAGTTATTGAACAAATAACCATGGCAAAATGTAGAATGTTCTACAAGTGAATTAATAGAGAGCACAGGGGTGGAAGAGGAGGCCCATATGTTTTAATGACGCTTATATCTTCTCAGCCATTCACTTCCAGGGATTGAAATACCTCCCAAGAGATTCTCTGCAGTCATCTCTAGGTGGTAGAGTTGTGGGTGGTTTTAATAATTTTGTTACTAGTTTTGAGTATGTTCCAATGTTTCAACAGCAAAATTTTTTCATTTGTGTAATAAAAGTAAAATGGTAATGATCATAATATATCATGACTATAGCTGAAGATTAGGCAGGTGAATGGAGTGAAGGGAAAGTCTTAATGACAACGTAATCCCAGTGGTTCTTGGGGTCATAGGTATGTCACACCCAAGCATCACCACCAGTTTATTCTGCCTCCAGTCTCAAGGTCATTTTTCTGTATCTGATACTCCATGGCAACATCTTGAGGCAAGACTTGTGATTGAAGGGTATTCCTCATGGCTCTCATACACACCCTCTTTTTCAGGAAGTTACTTGAGAATGTCCTCCAGCTAAGCAAAGAAAAGCTTTTAATATATTTTTATTGAATTCAAAGAAGGGAGAGATAGAAACATAAGTGATGAGAAAGAATCACCAGTCGGCTGCCTCCTGCACGCCCCACACAGGGGGTCAAGCCATTCTATTTATATATACATTCTATTATGCAGTCCATGCATGTGCCCCAACTGGAGTCGAACTGTGACCTCCTGGTCCATAGGTCAGTGCTCAACCATTGAGCCATGCCACCAGGGCATAACTGTCCTTTTGAGGGCTAGTGGAGTGTTGTGATTGGAGAGGAGAAGTGAGCTTCTGGGGTGAGGGTAACATTCCATTTCTTAATTCTGATAACAAGGTTTGCAGTTTGTAAAAATTTATTAAGCTGTATTGTACACTGACATGGGATTTTTATGTAGGTACTAGAGGCCTGCACCCTCTGGCAGTCCGGGAGCCCTCTGGGGATGTCCAACTGACGGGGGTCGGGCGGGAGCGGGCCTAAGCTGGCAGTAGGACATCCTTAGCGCCGCTTGCCAGCCATGAGCCTGGCTTAGGGCTTCTGAATCATACTGACCACCAGGGGGCAGCTCCTGTGTTGAGCGTCTGCCCCCTGGTGGTCAGTGCACATCATAGCGACCAGTCATCCCACCGTTCAGTCAATTTGCGTATTAGCCTTTTATTATATAGGATATCATACTTCACTTTAAACGTTTTTCAAATGCTTTTATTTAAATATATTGGCTTTTTAATTGAATTTTAGAGAAGAAGAGAGATAGAAACGTTGATGAGAGAGAAACATCATTGATGGGCATGCTCTCTACTGGGAATCAAGCCGGAAACCTGGTGCCCTGACCAGGAATCAAATTGGTGACCTCTTGGTTCTTGGGTTGACGCTCAACTGCTGAGCCACACCGGCCGGGCTAAACGTCTCTTCCTTTCTCTCTCTCTCTCTCTCTCCTCTCCTCTCCTCTCTCTCTCTTCTTTCCCCTCCCCACTTCTCCCCTCTCCTCCCCTTCCCCTTCTTTCATTTTCATTTTTTTTAATTTAATTTTTTAAATCCTCACTCAATATTTTCCTATTGATTTTCAGAGAGAGTGGAAGAGAGAGGTGAAGAGAGAAATAACAATGTGAGAGAAACACATCAATTGGTTGCCTCCTGCACGAGCCTTGACCAGGGAGGAGCCAGCCTACAATCGAGGTAAGTGCCCTTGAATTGAACCCGGGACTGGCTGATGCTCTGTCCACTGAGCCAAATCATCTAGGGCCGGGCTAAATGTTTTTCAATGTACTTTAAAAAAAATATTTGCCCACATGGATCTCATGTGGAATGAGACCAGTGACTCCCAATGTTTTATCTCCAGTCCTACCTGACCACTGAGCCCTACACTCATGCCACTGCCTACTAGATACCTCTATCTGGATGTTTAATAGGCATCTCAAATAGAAATCCTGGTTTCCCCTTCTCAAAATTGTTATTCCCCAGTCTCAGTAAATAGTACCTTAAAACCTAAGTGTAAGCCTTGATTCCTCTCTCCCCTGCCCTGCACTGCCATTCAGTTATCTAGTCCTATTGTTTCTTACACACCCCAAATATATCCACTTCTTTCCATTTCTGGTCTGAGCCCCCCTCATCTCTATTGCAGACTTATGCCATAGTTTCCTGACTGGTCTCTTCACCTCTTCTTTACGATCTTTTCACATAGTAGCCTTAGTAATTTTTGAAACCAGAGCTGCTGAACACCTTCTAGTAGACTCACATCCTAATTCCTTACTTGTGTTTACAAGGCTCATCATGCTTGAGCCCTAAACTCCATACCACTGAATTGTCTCCCCTTAGATCATTATACTTCACAGAGGCAGAACACTCATCTTTCCTGTGCAGCCTGTGCATGGGTCCTTGAGTCTAAAGAACTTCACTGTCACTTTAGTGACTCGCACCTTCAGCGCCCCATCTAAAATTGCCCGTATCATTTTTATTTTCAGCCTGGTTCATATTTGGTAATTTATTTTAGGGTATGGCTCACCCATCTGAAGGTAAGCATCATGAAAGCGAGGATATTGCCTTTCTGGTTTACCACTGGATTCCTTAGTATATAGAATATACAGGGATGGGCAAAAGTAGGTTTATAAAGAACTCTGTGCCAAAGTATGTTTGAGTATAGCAGGGAGACTCAAGGATATGTACATAATGAAGGTCAGCAATTTGAGCACATGCAAGATTATACCTAAGTGCACTGTGCCATTGTGATATTCTTTTAAGTTAGTAAAACTACTGTAATAATCATAACCTGCATATCTTTTTCCATATGAGCAACTGTAAACCTACTTTTGCCCACCCCTGTAATATCACTCAGGTATTTGATGAATGAGTATAGTAAAGAAAAAGGCAAGTTTAGCTCTGGTCGGTGTTTCTCAGTGGTTACAGCGTTGGCCCATGCACCGAAGGGTCACAGGTTCTATTCTCAGTCAAGGGGACCTACCTGAGTTGCACCATTCCATCCCCAGTCAGAGTACATGGGAGAGGCAACCAATCAATGTGTCTCTCTCACATCGATGTTTCTCTCCCCCCTCCTTTCCACTCTCTCTGAAAAGCAATGGAAAAAATATCCTGGGGTGAGGATTGACAACAACAAAAAAGGCAAGTTTAGTGTGCATAGTATGATCCCTAAAATATGTATTTTTAAAATATATATTTCAGAGAGGAAGGGAGAAATAGAAACATCATTGATGAGAGAGAATCATTGATTGGCTGTTTCCTGCAAGCCCCCCACTGGGGATCGAGCTGGAAACCCGTGCATGTGCCCTGAACAGGAATTGAACCGTGACCCCCTGGTTCAGAGGTTGACGCTCAGCCACTGAGCTACACCGGACAGGCATCCCTAAAATATGTTTAGAGGAAAAAATGTATGCATAGAGAAAAATCTGAAAGGATCTATACCAGAATATTAACAGATTATCTCTGATGGTGGAAATGTAGGTCTTTAGAATTTTTTTCTTTATGATTATTTGTATTTCCTAATTTTTCTATTATGAACTTGTTTAATAAAATGTTTAAAGGCCAGCCCTAGCTGGTTTGGCTCAGTGAGTGGATAGAGTGTTGGCCTGCGGACTGAAGGGTCCCGGGTTCAATTCTGGTCAAGGGCACATGCCCAGGTTGTTTGCTCGATCTCCAGGGACATTTTCTGAAAGGTGTTATGATTACCTCACCTTGGGAAAGAAGAATAGCTAAGATTTGGATTAAAATGAATGATGAATCTGAGACATCTCTGCACAATGAGCAAAAACTCTGGCTTAGCCCAGCCGGCATAACTCAGTGGTTGAGCATCAACCTATGAACCAGGAGGTTGCAGTTCGATTTTCTGTCAGGGTACATGCCTGGGTTTTGGGCTTAATCCACTGTGTGGGGCAGAAGCAGCTGATCAATGATCCTCACATCATTGATGTTTCTCTCTTCCTCTCTAAAGTCAATAAAAATGGATTTTTAAAAAATACCCTACAATTTAGGTCTTAGATTTACATCTGAAATGGTTTTGAGGCATAAAGATGAATTCTAGATCTTTAAAGCATGTGGAGGATGTATTTTCTTCTTTTTTTAAATATTTTATTGATTTCAGAGAGGGAGAGGAAGAAAGAGAAACATCAATGATGAGAGAGAATCATTGATTGGCTGCCTCCTGCACGCCCCCTACTAGGGATCGAGTCTGCAACCTGGACATGTGTCCTTGACCCGAATTGAATCTGGAACCCTTTAGTCTTCAGGCCGATGCTCTATCCACTGAGCCAAACCAGCTAGGGCTGGGGATGTATTTCTGTTATAACCCTGATGTCAGTGAACATACCCAATGATTGGTTTCAGTTTATTTTGGTACCTTTGTTAACTTCAAAATACTGGACAAGTTTCATCTTAATGATATTTCCAAATGAGCCCTAAATTGAACACATGACAACAGACCACACCTGTTTGGGAATGAGAATGGCCTTCAGAGTTCCTGAGCCCTCTGAAATTATATGTGAAATTGTAAGTGAGGGTAGGCTCATGCTGATTTTTCTGAGGGACCTTAGTTTTCATTAGATTTTCTAAGGATCCATGCCCTCCACCTTCCCAAATTTCTTACTATGTGGCAGTCCCTTTCCCAACAGCTCTTTAGGAGAAAATGTGGAGTTGAGAAGCTCCTATGCCCCAAACAAATGATCTTTTGCCTAAAATTCATCCCTTAAGGAAAGGCTATCCTTATTAAAATACGAATGCCTTTCATGGGAGATGGACTGGGTATTAAAGCCATTATCAGTTATTAACCCCTTAGTCCAACCTACTTTATTTTATCCCCCCACAAATATTGCATGCCAACTCTATTGGGAATAGAGATCCAGAGTAGATGGTCTGACACCTACTGACAAGCAACTGGGAGCTCGTCTGTACAGTTCCAGGCACTTTCTGTGGTTTCCCTACACAGAGACCAAGTATTGCTTTTCTCGCCCTAGAGCAGGGGTGGGCAAACTTTTTGACTCGAGGGCCACAATGGGTTCTTAAACTGGACCGGAGGGCCGGAACAAAAGCATGGATGGAGTGTTTGTGTGAACTAATATAAATTCAAAGTAAACATCATTACATAAAAGGGTATGGTCTTTTTTATTTTTAGTTTTATTCATTTCAAACGGGCCGGATCCGGCCCGTGGGCCATAGTTTGCCCACGGCTGCCCTAGAGAAATCTCACCCATATCTGTCTTGTGCGATCTACCTGGCCCCTGCTCTGAGGCACACCATCACCTGAAAATGCCTCTCATACCCAGATTTCTGCAGTGAGATCAGCCTGCTTCAGCTGATTAAACACCAAGTGAGGGAGCACACCACCTCTGTTTTTACCTGCAGCAGAAGCCCAGGAGACTCTTTCAGAGCTGCTCCTCCACTGCCGCATCATTGAGACCTCTGCTTCCTTTTCATTTCTGGATGATGCTGATCCCCACCTGGTTCTAGTTCCTGTCTTGTCTTATTCCGATACTTACTGCCTGGTTCTGGCAACTTCTCTGCTCTTAAATAATTGTTTTGCTTCATCTCATTTCACATTGCTAACTCCTAAATACACCCTATCTTTCTACCATTAACTGTGTTCCTGAAAAAGTCTCAAATAGCTCATCTTTATATATGGAAGCAATTATCTGCCAAATGAATGAGTTAATGTGGGGACACCTTGTACCCAGTTTACACTTATAACTTTCTACCCATCATCTTTCATATTTAGTTCTGTGGTTCTCATAACTGGACCATCAACCTTGTGTCTATTTCACTACCACTTTCAAGGCCCAAATTACAACTTTTCCCCAAGTAATTAGTAACTTTTGAACTTATGCCTTGATTTCACTTTTTTAAAAAAAAATTCCTCACTCAAGGATATTTTTTCTTGACCAGGGCCCAGGCCAGGGAAGAGCCTGCAACCGAGGTACTTGCCCTTGACCAGAATCAAACCCGGGACCTTTCAGTCCACAGGCTGATGCTCTGTCCACTGAGCCAAACCTGCTAGGGCTTGATTTCACTTTAACTTCCATTTTTCTAGGCTACTTGAAATTAAAGTTAAATCTTATTTTTCTAATATCAGGCCTCTTCTAACATTCTCCCTGAATTTTCCATCCTCAAACCACATCTCAAATTACCACTTCATTCTTAACTGCTGATTCACTTACCACATTCACATTAAATTTTCTTGAGGAATTTTCCCTTTAATGTCATTTTTGGTTTTTTTTTTATCACTATCTTTTCCCCAAAAAGCGCATTTCCAGGAAAAGTATCTTCAGCCTCTTCATAATATTTAGGTTACTCTAAATTTGAAACACCCTTTGTCCTCTAACTTCCTGTCATTCAGATTTATTTCTGGGCTATTGTTGTAACACCATAAACTAAAAGTAAGGGAATAGTGTTGAGTGATTACAGCCGATATGGCAAAACATGCTGCTTCAAAGTAAACATGTCTTCTAAATGTAAAAACTAAGGGAACTGTGTTTTTAAATTTCCAGTGCCAAAAGATAATTATGCAATGAATATCACAGTAATATCCTGAAACAAAGGTTTTCAACTATCCATACTAATAAAAGGGTAATATGCTAATTAGACCAGACGTCCTTCTGGATGTCCTTCCAGACAAAGCCACAGCAGCAACAAGGGCCAAGGGCCGGCAGCACGGGAGAGGCTGCGGCACGGGGCCTGTCCGGCACCGCAGTCCCTTTTGCAGAGGCCATGGGAGAAGGTGGTGATGCGGGAGGAGGGAGAAGGCCTGTGCTGCGCAAGAAGGCCGGCGCTGTGGCCCAGTCTGCAGAGGTGGCATAGGAGAGGCAGTGGGAGAGGGGGCTGCATGGTCCCTGTCCCAGTGCCGCCCCTTCTGCAGAGGCAGCCACAGAGGCAGCGGAGCGAGCCCGGTCCCAGCGCCACACCTCCACAGAGGCTGGACGGGGTGCAACCTGCTGTGCCACAACCTCCCACAGCCCCTCCCACAGCCGGCCTGGCCCCAGATCGCCCCCCACCCACCAATGGGCGGGGGACGGGGCCAGCACTAAGAAGCAAGGGCTGAGGGCCAGCAGCTGCGGCGGCTGGCAGTGGCAGCAGCAGCAGGGTGATGGGGTGGTGCCTTCCCCTGATCGGCCTGGTCACCTCCCACAGAGGAGGACGTCCCCCGAGAGCTCCTGGACTGTGAGAGGGGGCAGGCCGGGCTGGGGGACACCCCCCAGTGCATGAATTTTCGTGCACTGGGCCTCTAGTCATTAGAATAAATTCTGTGACTTGGAATTTAAATAGTTTCAAAATTGTCAGACATACTCTAAGGACTCTTATGGTGATAAAAACTTAAGTTAAACTAAAATAATGATTCAAAAATGTTTAAATATCTGTTTTTCTTAAAATGAACATTAGCATATAACCAGTATAGAAATAATAAAAGGTCAGTTTTTAGGTACAAATGTATAACTAGATTACATCTTTATACATATTTTCTTATTTTTCTTAAAAGATTAGAAAATATTTTTCCTATAAAACCTGTAAAGGATACCATCATGTTTATTATAACAATATCAAAATCTCATAAAATATAAATTTAAACATTCTAAAGTTTACCATAATTTTATTGTAACCGAATATCAAAGTTACATGAAATATAAAATTAAGCAGAAAATTGAGTTTTGTTTCTTCGATGGTATTCAAGAATCTCAAAAACCTTGAAGTTTGCTGAAAATAGAAATATTCATAAAATGAAACATTTTAGAAATCTAGTTATTGTACATGTCTTAATATTTAGGTTTTGTTAATTAAATTAAAAAACATTCATATTGTTCCAAATTGAAAAGGTGCTGGAAAAATATGTCAGTCTCTCACACTATTTCTGCTCCCAGAAGCAATTGTATAGCCTTATAAAATATATCCTTATAAATATCATCTAATCATATATATGCATGGGGGGGGGGTATGTGCTATAAAAACACATAAGTGGTAGAATACTATGAACACTATACTTTTTTCAATTAGTAAATATATTTATAATTTTTGAAACTAATCCCTTGAATGCTTTAAAATCTAAGTTAGGAAACTTCTAAATAAGCATATACATTTAAATGGATATGTATTTAAATGTTTGTTTTGCTAGTCTAAAAACTACATAAAAAATGGTTGTACCTTTTTTTATGCATATGCCCAAGTATAATCTGTAGGACAAATTCCTAGAAATGGAATTGCTGGTATATGCAGGTTAGGTCTTAAGAAATCTTGTCAGATTGCCCTCCATAAAAGTTTTTACCATTTTTTATTCTGATCAAGTGTGAGAGTATTTCTCTACGACATCAACAATATTGTATTTTAAAGTAAAACAACTATATTTGACAGTACTCATTGAAATAGTTAAGCTTATCTACTTTCACTACATTTTGATGCTAACTCTACAATATGATTTCACAAATATTCTAACAAAAGATTTATTCTGAGGAGAAGCTAAATAGCAGGAAGACCAAATTATTCCACTATATCTTGAAAATTTTTCATTCTCTCAAAAATAAACATGCATCTGTTTGATCCAGCACTGAAAAGATTCCTCAAATTATTTATACTAATTATAGTTTAGATATTATGCCAAGATTTTCAGCATCTGAGTCCACAGAAGATAAAGGAACCAACTATTTTATCTCAACAAAATGCAAGTCAAGTACTACTGTGCTAGAAATTTTAAAGAGGGATAGGCACATAAGTGACTTATACTACACTGTTAAGAACTACCACAGAAATCTGTACGAAGAGCTTAGAACACAAAACAATTCTATATGGCAATCAGGGAACATTACAAGAAACATAACTGAAGTTTCTTGTGCTATCATAATAAATCAGTTAATCTCCCATTGTGGGTAATTTGCTTACATCCCAACTCATTGAAACACAGTAAATGGTTTGTAGACAGATATAATCTATAATAATAAAAGCGTAATATGCTAATTTGACCGGATAACCTTCCGGACGAAGCCTTAGCTGCAAGAGCCAAGCCCTTGCACAAATTTTGTGCATCGGGCCTCTAGTAAAAAGATAAAAGTAAGAAAATGAGGAAACTCAGGTAAGGTGAAAATACAGGTCAGAAAAGATGAAGCCAGGGCTACACCCAACTTTTGCTTGGGACAGACAGATTCTCTTGTTCTGAGACCTGTTTAAAGAAAGTTCCCAGGACTAGTTCTCATAGGAGGATAAGTTTTATACCAAATCTCAGTTCAGTAAAAGTCAATAGGAAGGTGGACAAAATATGCACCAGGTAGACAACCCTCAGAGGTGACTTAATCCTGAGGTCACAAAATCAAATGCCCTCGGGGGCATCCAGGTGTTGACAACAGAAAGTGGTGAGACTTCAGAAGATTGGTTCCCTTACCTAAAAGCAACCATATCAATTCTTTAAAAAAAAAATTTTTTTTAAATCCTCACTCAATATTTTTCTATTGGTTTTCAGAGAGAGTGGAAGAGAGAGGAGAGGAAAGACAGAAATATTGATGTAAGCTGGGAGGAGCAAGATGGCGGCATAGGTAAACACCGGAGACTGCTGCCGCAAACAACCACTTCAAAAATATAACTAAAAGACGGAACGGACATCACCCAGAACCACAGGAAGGCTGGCTGAGGAGAGACTCTTCAACTAGAAGGAAAAATAACAGCACACCGAGGCTCAGAGGAGGCGCAGTGTGGAAAAAACTCAGGTGCGGAGGTGCGCGCGCAAAGCGGGCTGGTGGCTGAGAGCGCGGTTGTCGTTTTCGGTCAGGGGGGAGTCTCAGACTCTGAGCTCCAGATACGGGCGAATCGCTGGGGACTCGGACCCAAACGGGAGAAGCGGGAGTGTCTGGCATCAGTTGGAAGGCAGCTTTCCCTCCGAGGTTTGCAGCGGTTCCGGGGGTTCTGAGAAGCAGAGCCTCTGGGAACAGGACTGAGGGCACCATAACGGCTCCCTCCGCCCGCCCTGTTGAGCCCGCCCCGCCCAAGCCCTGCGCAGAGCCATTTGCCGGATCGCCGCAGGCAAAGGCTAGATTAGCACCTCCCCAGAGGACAGAAGTTTTCCGCGGCAGACACAGCTGATTCACACAGCCAGTCGGCCTGGTGGTCAAATCCCTCTAGTATTAACTACAACAATCAAGGCTCAACTAGAACAAGACTGCGCACAAAGACCACTAGGGGGTGCACCAAGAAAGCATAAAAAATGCGGAGACAAAAAAACATGACAGAAATGGAGGATATAGAGCTAAAAATCGCAATTTTGAGGGCTTGCAAAAATGTGCTAGAAGCTGTCAATAAACTTGAGGAGAGAGTCACGAAAACTAATGAGACCCTCGATGCTATGATAAAGAACCAACTAGAAATTAAGCATACACGGACTGAAATAAAGAATATTATACAGACACCCAATAGCAGACCAGAGGAGCGCAAGAATCAAGCCAAAGATTTGAAATGCGAAGAAGCAAAAAACACCCAACCGGAAAAGCAAAATGAAAAAAGAATCCGAAAATACGAAGATAGTGTAAGGAGCCTCTGGGACAGCTTCAAGCGTACAAACATCAGAATAATTGGGGTGCCAGAAGATGAGAGACAGCAAGATATTGAAAACCTATTTGAAGAAATAATGGCAGAAAACTTCCCCCACCTGGTGAAAGAAATGGACTTACAGGTCCAAGAAGCGCAGAGAACCCCAAACAAAAGGAATCCAAAGAGGACCACACCAAGACACATCATAATTAAAATGCCAAGAGCAAAAGACAAAGAGAGAATCTTAAAAGCAGCAAGAGAAAGAGACTCAATTACCTACAAGGGAATACCCATACGACTGTCAGCTGATTTCTCAACAGAAACTTTGCAGGCCAGAAGGGAATGGCAAGAAATATTCAAAGTGATGAATACCAAGAACCTACAACCAAGATTACTTTATCCAGCAAAGCTATCATTCAGAATTGAAGGTCAGATAAAGAGCTTCACAGATAAGGAAAAGCTAAAGGAGTTCATCACCACTAAACCAGTATTATACGAAATGCTGAAAGGTATCCTTTAAGAAGAGGAAGAAGAAAAAGGTAAAGATACAAATTGTGAACAACAAACATGCATCTATCAACAAGTGAATCTAAGAATCAAGTGAATAAATAATCTGATGTACAGAATGAACTGGTGATTATAATGAATCAGGGACATAGAAAGGGAATGGACTGACTATTGGGGAAAAAGAGGAACAAATGTAATCTGAACAATAAAGATTTAATAAAAAAAAAAGAAAAGAAATATTGGTGTAAGAGAAACATATCGATTAGTTGCCTCCTGCACGTGCTCCAACCAGGGCTCAAGCCGTCTGCAACTCTGCAACTGAGGTATGTGCCCTTGACCAGAATCGAACCCAGAACCCTTTGGTCCACAGGCTGACACTCTAACCAAACCAGAAAAGAAATATTGGTGTAAGAGAAACATATCGATTAGTTGCCTCCTGCACGTGCTCCAACCAGGGCTCAAGCCAAGGTGGAGTCTGCAACTGAGGTATGTGCCCTTGACCAGAATCGAACCCAGAACCCTTTGGTCCACAGGCTGACACTCTATCCACTGAACCAAACCAGCTAGGATTCAATGTGGGCTAGGTAAAGTCTAACACATGTCAGGCTTATGGATTAAAAACCTTTATTCAAGTATCTGGTTATATTCCAAAAACTAAGCAATGCTTGGAATATATTAAGAATCCTATATAATAAAAGTGTGGTATGCAAATTGTCCCCTCGACTGGAGTTCTTCTGGGAGTTGGACCAGGGGGCGGGCTGGCCAGGGGAAGGCAGGGAGGCCCTGGCGCTGGCAGGTGGCCGGGGGAAGGGAGGGAGGCCCTGGCCAGCAGCCGCTAGGGACCCTACCAGTGCATGGATTTCGTGTACTGGGCCTCTAGTCATATATATGTCAAATGAATGAATCCAAGAATAAAACTTATAATATCTCATAAACTGAATGGACTTCAATCACCCATAAGTATTGAGCAGAAAGAACAATGCACAATTTTTTTTTAAAGAAATATATACAAGAAACTGTTAATCATGGGTTCAGGGTTAGAAAGCAGAGGTATTACAGAGCTATTTTTTTTTCAGTTTTATACTTTTAAGCATTGTTTGAATTTGTATCATGAGATTGTATTAATTTTAATTTGAATATATTTGTTAATTGCAAAAATTACAATTGAACTGTGTGTTCAAAATTATATTCTCTAACAAGAAACTAGAGGACAGTTATTTGGTTATTTGTTCCTTTATATTTTTTAATCCTCACCTGAGAATATGTTTCTCATTGATCTTAGAATGAAAGGAAGAGAGAAAGAAAGGGGAGAGAGAGAGAGAGAGAGAGAGAGAGAGAGAGAGAAAACAAACAAAAAAAACATCGATTGGCTACCTCCCTGTACACACCCCAACCAGTGGGTGATCAAACCTGCAACCTAGGTATGTGCCCTGATCAGCAGTCAAACCTCCAGCCAGGGCTGGTTATTTGCTCTTAACAGGAAGTGTAGTTTTTTCAAAATATGTTTGATTAACTGACATTACATGTTAGGATGCCTGACAAGGGACATAGCATCAAAATGCATATTTATGGGCCCTATAACTACAGAGCAAGCCATTTGCTAAATGTGTGATGGGATCCCAGAACTTAACTTTTTTTTTCTTTTAAATGTTTTTATTGATTTCAGAGAGGAAGGGAGAAGGAGAGAACGATGAAAACATCAATGAGAGAGAATCATTGATTGGCTGCCTCCTGCACGCCACCTACTGGGGACTGAGCCTGCAACCCAGGCATGTGCCCTTGACCAGAATCGAACCTGAGACTCTTCAGTCCACAGGCCAACGCTCTATCCACTGAGCCAAACCAGCTAGGGCAATATATTTTTAACAAGGATCCTCAAGGACTCTGATGCAGGTGATCTATAGATCACCCTTGGAAAACCACTACCCACCAGGTGATTATTCTCTTTTTTACCTCAAGACCTTCCCCCAGCCCTAGCCGGTTTGGCTCAGTGGATAGAGCATCGGCCTGCGGAACAGGGGCGGTGGGGTGGGGGCGGGCGGCGGTTCCGGATTCGATTCTGGTCAAGGGCATATGCCTGGGTTTCGGGTTCGATCCCCAGTGGGGGCATGCAAAAGGCGGCCAATCAATGATTCTTTCTCATCATTGATGTTTCAATCTCTCTCCCTCTCTCTGAAATCAATAAAAATATATTTAAAAAAAGACCTTCCCCCAACTCCAACCCCTGCCCATCACCACACTTGCACCCAGCTCCTTCCAAATTCTTTGCTGCCAATTTAAGACAGATTACCTAGGTTTTGAGACTCAACCATGTGGAGGGCAGGACTGTGCTCTCAGAATAATATGAACATTATTAGAAGTCAGACTGTGAGAAAACTAGCCCACCTCCATAGCTGGTCCAAGATTTCCCTGAGAAAACAATGCTTGATCTATATCATCACAAACATGCCATCAAATACATAATATTCTATGTCACACAGCCTGACCACAATAACTTCAGCCTAGAACATTTCCAATAGGTCACTGCAGACATTTTTAAAAACCTCAACACACCTACAGAACGTTTGGTCTTTAGCAATATAGCACTAAGAAACAGCTTGTTCTGCCAGTTTCTGTGGGCACACTTACCTATCTTCTACTGTCTTGTTGGAAGGATAAAAAACTTTGAATGAAAATCCACTTCTTGGAAAAGAGCCCTTTGGGGGGAAAAAATGTCTGTAAATGAATACTCATTTATAGAAAAATTCCTGTTTTTAAAATCAAATTCCTTGGTCATCATGACTTTAAAAGTTATAACATGTGACTATAAAGTGATGTGACAGATTTTTGCTTGATCTTTACACAGAGAGAAGATATTACTATAAAATATCTACACTTAAAGCAAACATCTTTCAAGTTGGCTCGACCATCTTATGCTAACAGGTGTGACTGGAAATATAAGTAGGAGTGGCTCTACTTAGTATAAGGACTAAACAGTACTGTGTGATGTTAAAGATGCATATAAGACACCCAGAATCTTTAAGAAATTTTTCCTATCCCTCTCCCCAGTGAAAATCTGGGTTTCATGGCCCTTCAACATGCCCTCAAAGCAACTGAACACACATACAGATGTCTGTCCACTACTAAACTAGGGTAGAGACTCTGTCCTTTCAGTCTTTGTGTCCCTGGCCCATTGCCATGCCAATTGCAGGCATTCATTAATGTACATAAGTATTAAGAAGGGATGAAGCAATGTCAAAGGCAAGTTTTGGACCCAAAAGGTATAAATAAGGTAAAAAAGATGTAATTATGGTAGAAAGTGGTTTATTCACCTACAGGATGAAAAGGAGGAAAAATTCAGAAATAAGGCATTTTCAAATAAAGCATTAATTATGAGAATACCCAAACTATTCGATTTAAATAAGGATATAGCCTCTGTTAAAGAATATTAAATTGTGAATAATCTACAAAAATCAGGCCACAAATTTCAAACAATAAAATAAAATCAGTTGATTATGCTCATCCTTAGAGTAGTTTTCAACCATGGACAATTTTGCCCCCCAGGGCACATTTGTCGAATATCCTCAGACATTTTTGATTGTTATAAATTGGGGGCTGCTACTTGCATCCAGTGGATTGAATCAGGGATCCTGCTAAATACCCTACAGTGCACAGGACAGAGCTCCACAACAAAGACTTGGTTCAAAATGTCAACAGTTCTGTGATGAGGCGCCCTGGGAGGCGGGCACAGTAAGTGTGTGTTTGAGGAAGCAGTAACCAATAGGAAGGCGCGATGTTTCTAGTAATGACCTAAATGAAACAAAAAGTATTAAGGCAGCGGTTCTCAACCTGTGGGTCGCAACCTCCTTGGGGGTCGAACGACCCTTTCACAGAGGTCGCCTAAGACCATCGGAAAACACATATATAATTACATATTGTTTTTGTGATTAATCACTATGCTTTAATTATGTTCAATTTGTAACAATGAAATTGGGGGTCACCACAACATGAGGAACTGTATTAAAGGGTCGCGGCATTAGGAAGGTTGAAAACCACTGTATTAAGGTATAAAATTCACCAGAATTAAGGAAGCATACAGAGCATAAAGCCTCTAGTGGAGACATTTTGATATCAACCACAATGTTTATGCAGTCTGTATTCCCTAAATTTAAAGTCAATCATACTTCTGCCGAAATTCTGAAGCAACTTCAAGATTCTGAAGCAATTTCAAGGTTCTGCATAAAAAACGAAGTAATAAAATGTGTCTCAATAAGAATTTCCACATTTATCAGGTTTAGATTTTGGGGACTTGGGCAACTTCTAAAAATCAAAATCCTCCTTAAAGGGTAAGTACCATTTATATGTTTAAAGAGAATGGATACAGGCTTTGAAAGCAATTCCCTGAAAGGAATCCCAAGGTAAGTTACTTTGAAGAGAAAATATTCATTTGGATTTATAAGCTTTGGTGTATATATATATATTTTAGAAAAAAATCACATTACTTTATAGTCACATGCAATACTGAAGGTTCAAGAACTTTCAGTATATACCAAACTAATTCAGTGTTTCATTAATAGTATATTTTTACTCTAACAGTAATATTTTTAAATACACATTTTAAATTTAAAGAAATAACACTCTAATCTTGACAAACTATGACTATATAATGTTAACTACATTCTTACTGGGTTTATGCAGAGGCATTCAGTATTGGTCAAAGTGAAAGGATCATATTTGTCTGCGATGACAAGTAGATCAGGCAAAGGGTACACTCTCAAAGCATAGTCATATGCCCAGTACACTGGGCAGACATAGAGGGGTAGAGGAGTCAGGTGTCCTTGGGATAAGATAGTCTTCACAAACTAAAAACAATGATACAAAACAAACTTTAGTTCATTTGTAAAAGTTAAAACAACCAACAATTTCAAATTAGTTACCAAAAAGAATAAGAAAATTTGAGAAACAATTAGAACTCTGAATTACAGAGCTATGGGAAACACAGAGATGAAATGAGATTGACTATCCTATAGTTTAGGAAAAATTTTTGAGTTTTCATTTAATATAATTTACTGTAAAATCCAATCCCCCAATAGTCAAATTGGAGCAACTGTACTTACTAGTATACTTTATAATAAACTCATTTAGTAATTCTGTTCAACTAAAAATAATTCATAGCTTGAGCAATGCCAAGAATAGATATTTAGCCTATATAAGCTTTAGCTATTATAAAATAAATATAGAAAATGCTCTGTATGATCTATTTTCATAACTTCTGAAAAGGGGGTACATGTATCATGGAACCTTGAAGCTACAAGATAAGCCCTACACATCCTTCTGTGATATCACAGGAAATACTTAGTAAACATGAACATTTTATTAAAACACATACACATATATTTTGAAGTACAATGTAAGATTTATGAGTTTTAGGACAAAACAAGGAAGCTTCAGTGAAATTTCCTGCTGCTTCTGGGTTTTCCTCCACCCATTAGGAGATATTTCAGTGAGAAAGTTGAGAAACACTGATTACTAACAAATATTAACTTACTGACAAAAGTATGTTCAGATTATAACCATAATTTATATAAACATTAGAGGGTAAATTATCAAGTGGCTTAACAAAATTTTACGTGACGCAACATGTAATAGTTTTATAAAGAAGACTGTGAACTTACATGATTAGGAATATCCAAATTGCTACTAGGAAAACGGACACAGTTTCTGCACATTTTATTCACTAAGTCTTCACGAAAGACAATAATTTCTTGTGTACAATACTGAATTCTGAAATAAAAATAGTAGTTGAATTTGACTTCATCAGAAAAAAATATGAGGTAATTTAAAAGGCAAATGGGTTTTTTAAAAAAATATATTTTATTGGCTTTTTACAGAGAGGAAGGGAGAGGGATAGAGAGTAAGAAACATTGATGAGAGAGAAACATCAATCAGCTGCCTCCTGCACACCTCCTACTGGGGATGTGCCCACAACCAAGGTACATGCCCTTGACCGGAATCGAACCTGGGACCTTTCAGTCCGCAGGCCGACGCTCTATCCACTGAGCCAAACCGGTTTGGGCAGGCAAATGGTTTTATAATACAAAATCATTCCCACTTTCCATTGTTTACCACAGCAAAAATTCAATCAGAATTTATCTATTTGTCCATTCATTAGACAGTAATTTATTGAGCTCTTAATATGTGTACTGAACTATTCTAGGAATGAGTGAACAAAACAAAAGGATCCCAGTCCTCATGGAGTTTACATTCTAATGAGAAGAGGGTGATCAGAGAAAAAAACAATAAACATGATAATTATACAGTATGTTGGAAGATGATTACATGCATGGGAAAAAGAAAAAGGTCAAGTGGAACATTTGTGGGGAGAGAGGTCTAGAAGGCTGGAGTATGAAAGAAGAGGATCAGAACAGGTAGGCTCATAATGCAGTTTGATTTGAGCACAGACTTGAAGAAGTGAGAGAGGCAGATAGAGGAAGAACATGGCAGGTAGATGGAACAGGTATAGCAGATGCTTTAAGATGTAGCATGCTTGCATATAAGCATAACCATTGGCGGCCAGGGGATTGTCAAGGGCGGGGGGAAAAAAGGAGAAACATGTAATACTCTTTGTAATAATTTAAGCAATAAAAATATAAAAAAAAAAAAAAAAAGATGTAGCATGCTTGGCACATCTGATGAACAGAAAAAAAAAAAAAAAAAGCTGTAATGACCAGAATAAATGAGGAGGAAAAGTAGGAGAGGAAATCAGAGGCATTTCATACAGGGCCTGACTACCATCGCAAGGATATTGGCTGTTACTGTATGACATGAGGTGTCCCATCTTTTAGGATCAGTAAGGGGCCTTACATTTTAAAGGATCCTCTAACATAGTGTTAAGAATAGACTACAGAAGGGTAGGGGTAGAAGCTAGAGACCAACCAGAAGGCTATTACAGTAACCCCGGCTAGCAGATGACAGAGGGTCACAAGCATGAAGCTGTAGAGAGGCAGCCAATACTGGGTATATTTTGAAGCCTTCCTTAAAAAGGTTGAAGGACCACCTGTAAAACTGCATGTGAGAGAAACCCAAAGTTTTGGGCCTGAGCAACTGAAAGGATAAAAGTCCCATGAACTCTGATGAGGAAGGCTACAGAACAAGTTGGGGCCTGACAGGGGAGGAAGAAGATCAGAGGTTCAGTCTGGAGTTGTTTATTAGACATCCAAGGGAAAATGATGAGTAGGCATATGTGAGGCTGAAGTTTGGGAGGTTTGAGCTGGATATATAAATGTGGGAGTTGTCAAAACATAGGTATTTAAAGCCATGGGGATAGATAAGGTCACAGCAGGAGTGAATGTGGGCAGAAAAGAGGAGAACCAAGGACTGTGGGTATGCACTCAGAAGAGCCAATGATCACAGTAAGTGGCACAAATAGTAAACTTGTAATCTTTTCATTCTTCCATTGTCACTTTTTTAAAAGGATGTGTATGTAATGAGAATATCTATTTTAAAATCTCCAGGCTGAGGTGACTCAGTGGTTGAGTATCGACCTATGAACTAGGAGGTCACAATTTGATTCCCAGTTAGGGCACATGTAGACTCGAGACAGCTGATCAATGATTCCCTCTCATCATTGATGTTTCTATCTCTCTTTCCCTCTCCCTTCCTCTCTGAACTCAATAAAAAAATATTAAAAAAAAAAAAAACTCCATTAGGAGAAACCAAGATGGCGGCATAGGTAAACACCGGAGTTTGCTGCCTCGAACAACCACTTCAAAAATACAACTAAAAGACGGAACGGACATCATCCAGAACCACAGGAAGGCTGGCTGAGTGGAAGTTCTACAACTAGGAGGAAAGAG